TAACCTGACCCTGCCATTCTTCCAAGATAGTCAAGGCTCGTCTTGTATATTTCCTACTCCAGGTCTGGAACTAGCCATTTCTTTCAAGAGCACTGGTTCTTCGCATTGGAAAATGGTGTGTATTTGCATTTGAGGCAGTGGAGTCTTGTAATAATTTTGCTGTTTGTCATTTGATGGAATTAATAGGTTTCTGTTAATTTTCCATCATCTTTTTCTCTACTCCTCTTTAGTCTGGTGTTGTCTCACTTGTGGAGAAGTGCAGGGTATAACTGTTCTACTCAGTGTGGGAATGTGGGCAAGGCCCTAGGACTTCTGCTTTGCTAATTTCTCTGAAGCAAAAGCCCTGTAGGGCAGAGCTCTCAGTCAGAGCCAAGGCTGGTGCTTCAGCGGAGCTGCATGGTATAAATCCCAGGGTCCCAAGACCGATAACGCATCTAGTCACCACTCTGCTTCCAGGTTGGATCTCATCAAAGATAGAAGAAGCATTGCCTCCCTTTGTCATTTTTAGAATTCTCCAGAGTTAGAAAGTCCATATTTAAGCACTTAAGCGGTGTGCTATATTGAACCACAAAACAACTCTAGGGTCATTTCAGAGAAACCTAAACTGCGGGAAACTTAGCAAGAAGTATGAGAACTGATTTTAGGACCTGAGCTGCTTTTTGTGTATATTTGAAACTATAGCTTAACAGCAAAACCACAGATGAATTCTGAGAGATTTTGGCAACTGAGAGGCGCTTTCTCCTTGACCTGTGAGCTGTGTCAGGATGGGAGGAAAAGGGAGATAGTCACACTTGAATTTCAGTCTGGGGGCTTTAGCTAGTTGGATATGTCTATTTATTCAGAATTGGTTTTTTGTTCTTTCTTTGATGCCGGTATATACTTAAATTAAAAAAAAAAAAATTTGACTGACATTTTTTAATTCTACAAAAGCCAAAATATCAAACTTATATAGCAAGAAAAGGTGACACCTTAAATAATGATATTTAATCAAGGGATTACACATTCCTCCTGGGCTCCAGCCTGTAAAAATTTCATGTTTTGGTGAGGATAATGTTTCTGTTATAAAAGCCATACTGCCTAAAAAAGCTTAGCCAGGAAAGAACTTTTTTAAAGGCAAATACTTAATGCCAAAGTAGTAAATATAGAGTAAACCCCAACGACAGTTTTATTTTCAGATGAAGGGATAGTATCTAAGAGGCTTAGTTCTAAGTGTGTAGTAATTTTCATATTATATCATTCCTCTAGGTAATGTCCGGATTCGTACCTGTCTGTGCAGGCCTTTCTGTGTGTACTTTGTCCCTCCATGCATGACAGAAGTGCTTAATGAGGCCAGGTTCCCAAACTGCAGAGGAAAATTGTGTTGTCTTAAGGTTCTTCAGAGTCAGCATTTTTTAGAGTTTTTTCCTTATTTATTTTGAGAGAGAGAGAGAAAGAGAGAGAATGAATCCCAAGCAGGTTCCGTACTGGCAGCATAGGGCCTGACACAGAGCTTGAAATCACGAACTGTGAGATCAAGACCTGAGCCATAAATGAGAGTCGGAAGCTTACCCGACTGAGCCACCCAGGCAACCCTGGGTCAGCATTTTTAAGGACACTTATCTTTGTGGTATTATAATGCCAGAAATCATTCATTCTTTGCCTTCAGCTCCGGCACATTCAGTACGACCTCCAAGGCAGCCTCACATCCCACATGGGCTGTCCTTATGGGTGTCAGGCCTCCACATGACTGGGTCAGTGTGCACGCAGAGTAAGTTAGATGCATCACAATGGGAAGAAAGTTAGACTTCTAGAAAAGGCTGTGAATTTGAAATTTGATATACAGCTCTGAATGGTGGGGCTATATACTTTACAGCCTGTTCATGTTCCTCATCATCCTGAAAAATTAAATACTGCTAAACAGGGAAGAGGTGCATAGATTCCATTTTAATTTAAAATAATTGAGAGTAGGGGCATGTGGGTGGCTCAGTCACTTAAGCCTCCAACTCATGATTTTGGCTCAGGTCGTGACCTCACAGTTTGTGGGATTGAGCCCCACATCAGGTTCTGTGCTGGCAGTGCCGAACCTGCTTGGGATTCTCTCTCCCTCTCTCTCTGCTAGTTTCCTTCCATGTGTGCACGTTCTCTCTCTCTCTCTCTCTCTCTCTCTCTCAAAATAAATAAATAAACTCTAAAAATAAATAAATGAAAGTGAGCAAATAATTGAGTCTAAAAGCAAGCTGCCCTGAAGTCAAAGGAGGATGATATTAACTTCTTACATGGATTCATATTTATAGTTTACAAAGTCAGCATATGTCCTACTTCACATGGCATTCACCTGACTCCAGATTTGTAGGCCAGACAGGTGTTGGAATCCCATTTATGGATTCTGAGACTGAGTTCAGAAAGGTTAAGTGACTCCTGACAGAGTCAACATTAGAACGCAAATCTGGGATTAAAAGCCAATTTAAGGAGCACCTACTATGTGCAGGGCACTGGAGACTCAGAAATTAATAGGAATGGTTTCTTACCCTTGAGGAACAATCAAGACATACGTGTTTTTTCAGAAGCTCATCACTGGAGACATTTGTCCTTCCCGGTGACAGATGTCCTGCTAGGCCACTCAGGACACCCTCAGGAGCCCACTTAGGACCTTGCTGAGGTAACCTCACCTCAACCTTTCACCTCCAGGCTCTGTTCTACTCTAGCCTTGCTCCTTGTATTGGAAATAGATGCCAATTGATTGTACTTTATTTTATAGTTCTAGAATTTCCATTGGTGGATTTCTTCGCTAATAGTTCCTATTTTTTCATTCATTTCAATGAAATAAATCTCCCTTTGTTCATTGCAACACACCCTTTAAAATCCTTGTCTGCTAAGTCCAACATCAGCATCATCTTGGGATTGGTTTCCACTGATGATCTTTTTTCTTAAAGACTGCGTCACATTTGTCTGATTCTTACTGTATCAAATGATTTTGGATTCTATCCTGGACATTACCATTCTACAGACTTGAGATTTTGTTTTATTTCTCCAAAGAAGTGTGGTGTTCCTGCTTTAGCAGGCAATAAATTTAGTTGGGCTCAAACTGCAAACTCTCCATCCTGAGCAAAAACATCACTTCGATTCTTCTGTCTTTAGCAGGGCTGCTTTGCATGCTTCTATGTGTGTGGGTCCAGAGTCAGCCGCAGGCTCAGGCAAATGCACATTGTAATTTAGGGCTCCCCTTTCTGACTTTTTTCCTTCCTAGAATTCTCTCCTCACTTTCCAGTAACTAGAGTTGCCCCAAACTCTGTCTTCTGGTCCTTCAGGCCAAAAACTGGGTTTTCTATCTTAGCTTTAGCTATCCTCTGTGCCATTGATTTTGGCCTTCCTCAAGCTAAACAAGAAAGTGAAGAAGACAAGAAAGTCACTGGGCACCGTCCTTTATTTCAAGATTCATTCCTCTTCTCCCCAGTACCACCTGATGAATCTAAATGCCTTCAGGTCATTGACTGGAGGGAAGGTCAAGAGTTTGTAATTTTTATCTAAGGGATGGTTGGGTCCGGTGGGACACTAACTCTTGTATTGCGTTATGCCTTTCTGTAAGCTTTTGTTTGCACAAAGAGTCCACCACTGAAAAATAAGAACAAAAGTTTGAAAATTCACTGTATTTTTCCAACTGCTAGTGAGATTTTAAATCTCTAACATCACTTCTCAGGGACCTGCATGTCCAACCTTTGCTGTGGACACTTTCAGTGATGGAGGCTTTGCCCTTCTTCCTCTGTGTTTTCCCTCCCCAGTTCTCAGCCTCCCAAGGCCCAACAAAGGTTCTTTGTCCAACTCTCCTCAATGGCAGAATTTTAGCCAAAGCTCTCCAGAAGAAAAAGCTGGTGGAATTCCAGCAAAGTGTTGTCATTCTTTGATGAACATTTTAAATGGATGCTTTTTGTGGAAGAGAATGATAAAAGGTGGACGTTTGCAACTGAGCCTTTATTTTGACTTCTGGTTGACACTCAGAAAAGCCTGATTAGCCTGGCATCTGCCTTGATGCATGTAGCATTCTGGAACTGAACTGAGGAAGGCCACCGGTCCAGAACATCTGCTACTCCACAGACCTGCTCAGGAAGGAGACAGGAGGATGTCCTAGGTGGTGCGCACCTTGTGGTTATATTAGAAGATGACCCAAAGGACTGTTGTTTGGGTCCAAATGTAATGAGACATTTGGGACATCCTACTGTGTAAACAAACTAAAGATAGTAGAGGAAAAGTACTGTCACATGGACAATGGCCATGGAAATGGGAGCCCTCAGTCCTACTCTGAATTGGCCCTGGCTCCATAGCTTAGGAAATCCCCTCACCTTCCTGCAGATGTTTCCATTGGGAAGGATGAGTTTCAAGGGGTCTGCAAACTAAATGGAAAAAATATACACATGAAGGCCTGTGGAGGAAAACGAAGTCATAGAGCCTGGGAGTGATTTGTTTATAGAGACAGCAGGTAGTATGGAAAAGAAGTCGCTACTTTTTTTTTTCACGTCAGGCACTCATCCTTTCCTGATGTCTTCAGAGTATATCTCCGAAAGCGTACCATTGCCCTCTGTCCTTCTGAAGAGCAGAGTTTTAAGTGTTTCCTTGTGCCAACAAAAAGTGCTGTACAGTATTTTGAGTTAGCTAATTCCCTGATAAGATCTGTAACCCATTTGTGCATTATTTGCTCTTTACCACCCAGTCTCCTAGTAAGAACACAAAAAATAGGGGCGCCTGGGTGGCTCAGTCGGTTGAGCGTCCGACTTCGGCTCAGGTCATGATCTCACAGTTCATGGGTTCGAGCCCCGCGTCGGGCTCCGTGCTGACAGCCCAGAGCCTGGAGCCTGTTTCAGATTCTGTCTCCCTCTCTCTCTGACCCTCCCCTGCTCACGCTGTCTCTCTCTCAGAAATAAATAAAACATTTTTAAAAAAACACACACACAAAAAATAAAAGTAAAATGTAATCTCTAATTTGCCTATTTAATTTGTTCTCTCTGTCTGTCTCTTTCTTTTTTAAGAGTCAAAAGCAACCAATGCTACTGTGGGTGCCCGGTCATTTTTTTTCAAGAATACCAACGACAGATATGAACCATTCCCAGTGGAGGACGATGAGGAGAAAAATGGAATTGGGTTCCCTGAAGACAGATTAAGCTTTGTTAACAGAAGCCGTCCTCTTCAAAAACTGCCCCATCCGTCCATCTCGAAAGAGACCTCAGAATATCTGACCAGCGCCTGGCTGACGCTTTTTATCCCCTCCGTCTATACTGGCGTGTTCATCATAAGCCTTCCTCTGAATGTCATGGCCATCCTTGTGTTCATCCTGAGGATGAAGATCAAGAAGCCTGCCGTGGTGTACATGTTACATCTGGCCATGGCGGACGTGCTCTTTGTGTTAGTACTTCCGTTCAAGATCAGCTACTACTTCTCCGGCAGTGATTGGAAATTTGGGTCCGAGATGTGTCGCTTCGTCACAGCAGCATTTTACTGTAACATGTACGCCTCCATCATGCTCATGACAGTTATTAGCATTGACCGGTTTCTGGCTGTGGTGTACCCCATCCAGTCCCTCTCCTGGCGCACGCTGGGAAGGGCCTCCTTCATTTGTCTGGCCATTTGGGCTATGGCCATCGCCGGGGTGGTGCCTCTCCTCCTCAAGGAGCAAACCAGCCAGGTGCTGGGGCTCAACGTAACCACCTGCCATGATGTGCTCGATAAAACCCTGCTGGAAGGCTATTATGCCTATTACTTCTCAGCCTTTTCTGCTGTCTTCTTCTTTGTACCACTAATCATTTCCACAGTCTGTTATGTGTCTATCATTCGATGCCTTAGCTCCTCCACTGTTGCCAACCGGAGCAAGAAGTCCCGGGCTTTGTTCCTGTCGCTTGCTGTTTTCTGCATCTTCATCATTTGCTTTGGACCCACCAACATCCTCCTGATTGTGCATTACTCATTCCTTTCCCAAGATTCCACGGCAGAGGCTGCCTACTTTGCCTATCTGCTGTGCGTCTGTGTCAGCAGCCTAAGCTGTTGCATTGATCCCTTGATTTACTATTACGCTTCCTCCGAGTGCCAGAGGCACCTCTACAGTATCTTATGCTGCAGAGAAGGTTCTGATCCCAGCAGCTATAACAGCAGTGGTCAGTTGATGGCAAGTAAAATGGATACTTGCTCTAGTAACCTTAATAACAGCATATACAAAAAGCTCTTAACTTAGGAAAAGGGACTGCCAAGTTGACAAGAAAAGATTCAAAAAGTGAGTAACCTGAGGATTCTGTTAGTCCCTGCCAAAAAGGTATTTGCAGTCAAAGGCAACACATCTATAATTTGCATGCCTCTTTCTTATGAGAGCCATTAACTGTATCTATCAGTTATAGGAAAAGAAAAAAAGAACAGTGTTATTCCAAGAGATTATTGCCAGTGCTACGACAATAACTCATTTTTTGATATATTAAGGTGGCTTACTATATATGTGTGTGTGTGCGTGTGCATATATATGTGTGTGTGTGTGTGTGTATATATATATATATACACACACACACATATTTGTATCGTTTGGAGTGCAGTATAGAATAGGCACTTTGAAACCCTCTCTTTTTTTCCCCCAGAGATTAGAGGAAATAAGCCCTAATTTTCTGATTTAATGTGCAAAGTTCAGGTTGGTGGATGAACATCTTCAGATGGGATTCTGTGGTTTGGGCTTCTATAGCTTTGGCAAATACGCGTATTTTGAAATTGTTCAACAGCAGTGCTTAAGTTATTAAGGAATAAGACTTAGCACTATCTGTGTGTAAAAAAAGTTCTACTGTTTCTCATTTTAAACGTATCAAAGTTTGAATTCTTTAAATCATGAAAACAGATAATATGGGTAGCATTTTTGAAGTTTTCTGCTTTGTGTATAGAAAGCAAGAATGAGCATAGATCCCACGAGTGACCCTAGGTTGGCTTTCAAAGCAGGCTGCCCCAGATGGAGGACTCCAAGCAATAGATACAAAGCAGGACTGTTTCCGACACGGACTGGTCAGAAACCCTCCAGCTAAGCCCCCCAGAGATCCGAACCAGGACCACCACAGTGACTTTCTCCTGCAGTTCCCTCAAGGGTTGGCTATGAACTCTGTTGTTTATTAGAATTTGGCAAAGTGGGTTGTGCTGTCCCAGGAGATAATGACCATAAAAGACTTTTCTCTGCCCATTTTAAGAACATAGAAGGAAATCCCATTGACTTCCAGCAATTATCTCACAAGGACCATTCTCAGATGGAAGCACTCATGGAGCAAACATGAACACACGTTTTGTGCTCTGGTCACAGTGATGGGTGCCGGGCATACAGAGTTGACTACGACAGACCTGTCCTCAAGAAGAATGAAGTAGATCAGTACAGAGTGTGGGGTGTGTATGATAAGTAAATGTGTCCTTATCTAAAGAAGCTTTTTTAGCCTGATGTCACCAGGCAAATTTCATACAAGCAAGGACTGCCAGTTGAAGACCTTTGAACATTTGGGTTACTATTCGCTGTGGTCATAACTTGAGAGGAAAACATAACACAATACAGGAATTACATTTTTAAATAATAAATCCTCCATTCTTCATTGATTGGACACATTTATTTGCAAATATTTTCAAATTTAAATCAGAAATTTTTTAAAGAATCACTTATGCCAGTTTGACGAGAAGTAATAGAAGAAAATGAAACTGACTCGGAAATCAAGGAAAATAATTCTGTATTTTCCATTTACCTTTTTTCAAAGTTAATGAGATGATTTTAAAAGCATTTTTTAACCCCATGATTTGTATCAAGTACAGAAAACCCTCATGGATTTGACAAAATAATTTGAAAATTAGGTTGAAATGTATATATATATATATATTTTTTTTTATGGATCAGTGTTGGCCTTTTAAACAAACAAAAAATGTAAGAAAGTTTCAAGGCAAATGTTTACCTATTCAAAGAGCAAACTCTTTCCAAATGCCATAGACTAATTTACATAAAAGCATAATGTAAGTATAAGCTAACATTGATTTTATTTTTTTAGCATTGATTTTATTAACTTAGTTACTGTATTTTACCCAACTCAGTGGAGATCTACTTGTTTATTCAATCTGAAATATTAATATACCTCTGACTTTATATGACTATCATTACTATATTATCAGTCTGTACTTATATTATGTCATTGTTTTTATGTTCTCTCTTTTTAAAAAATGTACATAACCTATATTAATAAACATGAAAGTCTGCTTGGTAATTGTTTGGAATAAATTTTGAGTGTATCTCCCAGAGCCCTGGCAGGAAGGCCAGTGTTAGGGTTTAGCTAAAGTGTATTTAATGAAGAGGCAGCGTGCAGACAGGGTCAAGGGAATCAGCAGGGGCTGAGGAAGCACCCTGGTTGCTAGTGGTTCAGGGATGCCATTACCACCCCAGGGCTAAAGGGCGTGGAGGAAGGAATACTCTGACCTCTTTTCCCTCAACCCCCTGACCCCTCACTGGTGGTGCCTCCTGGTCTTGCTTCTGGTCTTAGCTGAAAGGTCAAGGGAACCTCGGTGGCCTCGTCCATAAAGGTCTGCTTCTTGGAGCCTGGAGAATGGATCTGGAAGAACAAAGGAATTGGATGATGAGCTTTCTGCTATCTTTTTTTTTTTTTTCTTAATTCCTTCTTAGGAAAATTGAAGGTTGTATCATTGAGCATATGTTCAGATTCCCAGGTTGTAGGCATCACAAACAGAATCTGTAGTTCATTCCTAGTGAAGACAGAAACAAATGAAGTGTCCGAGCCAGTAGGATATGTTGAAACCTCAAGGATTGCCCTTGAGTGACAGTCCTTTGCCATCTAATGCTCCTTGGAGCAGGGGACAAGGAGGCAGGAGGGGGAATTAAAAGCAAAATAGTAAGTATGTCTGGGAATTGAAAATCAATAAGAAAAATTCTAGTCACATATTTCTACATTCATCATCAACAGAAAAATTTTATTCAACCGAATAAGAATTCTGTTAACACACAATTTTTAAGTTAATATACGAGCCTAAGTTTCTGAGGCCAAGACGCTCTGCACATGCTTCAGGATTGGATAGATTTAGGTAGGTCCAGCTTGTGGCCACCAGATACAGGATCCCTGCCCTAAACGGAAAGTGACCTTTAAACTCTTATATTGTTATTTTTCAAAATATGCTTGAAGTCAAAACAACACATTTGAAGTTTCACTTGTTAAAAAAAAATTTTAAGTTTATTAATTTTGAGAGAGAGAGAGAGAGAGAGTGTGTGTGGGGGGCGGTGGTGAGGGGCAAAGAGGGAGGCAGAGAATCCCAAGCAGGCTCTGCACTGTCAGCGCAGAGCCGCAGGTGGGGCTTGAAGTCACAAAACCGAGAACATGACCTGAGCCGAAACCAACAGTCAGATGCTTTACTGAATGAGCCACCGAGGCACCCCGGAATTTTAATGCTAAAATGTTTGTTTTTTTCCACCAAGTCAAAACCAGGATTTTTAAGGAAATAGAATATTTGGCTGTTGAATATAAGTGTGGAAAATTTGAGGTTATACTTATGAATGTAAGAAATTTTTTTTAATGTTGGCACATCCTTCAGGAAGTCTTGAGCTCTGCCAGCAAGTGGAAAAAGTTAAGCAGTGTTTATGACCCAGCGTTTTAAGTGTGTGAGGCCTGGACCCTCTGCTGGAAGCTTTTCTTCACCCAGGTGTCCTAAAAATTAAGGGGGAAGACAGTCATTAACAGTAATTTCCTGGCAGAGGTGGCCTCACTGTATAGCTATTCCTGTCAACATTACTGGACCAAATGTGTGTCGAGAGTAACTGACCACAGGATCAACCTGTGTTTTATGAGGGAGGTGTGGTTATGTAAGCCACAGCCCAGACAGAAGAAATGCCCCATTGCGGGGATTCCGAGTCCTACAGACCTTTCTAGGGAATGTATGAAGCCACACCTGTCTTAAAACACTGACCTGTTATTTGCCTTTTCTTGCTCTGATTCTCTTACCACCGTACAGTTGAGTTTTCTAGAGGCTGCATGACACGTGATATTGCAACAGCCTGAAAGCAGAGATACTTAAGAAAATCTGACTGTCTTCTGTCAAACCAGCCATTAAAGAAACTTACAAAAACAGAAACCAGGGCAACTCTCCTCAGGAAATCATTGTTTGGGGAAGAAAAAATTTTTGTAAAAAATAGGTCATGGATTTATTTTAACTTTTAAGTGAAAGAAATCTTTTCAAAAGTTCTCCATTTTAGTGTCTCCTATTGTAAATGTTGGTGGGTATAGTCAGTGGTTTGCTGTCAGTCTCCAGAGAAAGAAAAAAGGCCCTGATTTGTAACAGTTGCCCGTTTCCATAGTGTAAATACCCCTCTCGGGTGCCAATTTCAAGCTTCCAGTGGTTTAACAGTTGGCTTCAAAAATGCCTCAGTATTGAATTCTGATACAGGCTGACTCCAACACACCACTGGATATAACCTACTTAAATGAAAAATCCTTAGCATCCTCAATAATTTTTTTTTTTAATGTTTATTCACTTTTGACAGACCGAGCATGAGCAGGAAAGGCAGAGAGAGAGGGAGGGAGATCCAGAATCTGAAGCAGGCTTCAGGCTCTGAGCTGTCAGCACAGAGCCCGATGCAGGGTTCGAACCCATAAACTGCAAGATCATGACCTGAGCTGAAGTTGGATGCTCAGCCAACTGAGCAACCCAGGCACCCCTAGGGTTCTCAGTACTTAAGTGTATCAAGGTATCCTCAGCCAAAAAAGCTTGAGAATCCTGCTCTTCTCCAAGGTTTCCCAACTTTATTGCCTTCAGGAAGACCTAGAAATCAGTCATAATCGGGGGCGCCTGGGTAGTTCAGTGTGTTGAGCATCTGACTCTTGGTTTCTGTTCAGGTCATGATCTCATGATTCATGAGTCTGAGCCTCTTATCGGGTTCTGCACTGATATTGAGGAGCCTGCTTGGAAGTCTCTGTCTCTGTCTCTCCCTCTCTCTGCCCCTCCCCTGCACATGCGCACGATAGATGGATAGATAGGTAGATAGATAGATAGATAGATAGATAGATAGATAGATAGATAGATAGATAGATAGATAGATAGATAAAATCTGTGTATTTAATTCAGAGCAATGATTAGTCATGATTAGAAAGCACTTATAAGGGCAAACAGTTGGCTCACAGCTGCGAGCCACCACACTGAGTTCTGAGCCTCAAGGCAACAGGCCCGGGGTGGCTTAGAAGTTAGCAAGCTTCGTGTGAGGCCTGTTTCGCAGCTGGCTGCTGTCAAACACCCATGGCAGCATCACGAAAGTGAACATCAGGCCTCATACTTCTTGTCACGGGGACTGTGGGTCTTCTGGAAACACAGAAAATCAGAGGTCAGATTCAGGAGCATCTTGGAATTCAGATAATACAGCATGTTTTTAACCAGCTGGCTATATGCTCCTCACTGTAGGAAATGACTCAAAAGCACCATGGAGATTAGCTTTGAAAGCTGCACGTATAGCCTGAACACATCAGGTGGCAGCAGGGACAGTCTACCTGTTTGGCTTATTTTATTTTATTTTATTTTATTTTTATTTTTTATGTCTTTATTTTATTTTGAGAGACAGAGACAGAGAGTGAGCAGGGGAGGGGCAGAGAGAGGAAGACACAGAATCTGAAGCAGGCTCCAGGCTCTGAGCTGTCAGCACAGAGCCCGACACGGGGCTCGAACCCACAAACCATGAGATCATGACCTGAGCCGAAGTTGGACGTTTAACCGACTGAGCCACCCAGGCACCCCCTGTTTGGCCCATTTGAATATCCACAGTATTGGATCTTTTTTTTTTTTTTCAGTGTTTATTTTTGAGAGAGACAGAGCACGAGTAGGAGGGGCAGAAAGAGAGAGGGAGACACAGAATCCAAAGGAGGCTCAAACCCACGAACCGCAAGAGCATGACCTGAGCAGAAGTCAGACGCTTAACTGACTGAGCCAGCCAGGCACCCCAGTATTGGGCCTTTTTAGCATGCTGCTATGTGACCCATGCAGGGAAGAGAGGACATGAGCAAGTGTGGGATAGGCAGCACTATGATGCAATTAAGAACAAGACCCTGGGATGCCTGGCTGGCTCAATGAGTAAAGCATTAGACTCTTGATCTCAGGGCCTGAGTTCAAACCCCAAGTTGATCCTAGTGCTTACTTAGTGGGAAAAAAAGACCTCAGTTGTGAGTGTTTTTGTTTTGTTTCATTTCCTATCCCAAGATATATAATTGTTCTTGAAATTGGACTACATGAAGCCAAGAAATAATTTTTTTAATGTATCCCTGTTTTCCAGGAGCTAACCAGGTTTTGGATTGAATCATAATATAGAATGCTTCATTAAGAAACATGTATTTTGAAGACCTCAAATCTTAAGAATTTTAGCACCTCTTCTTTGTTAGAAGGAAGTTTTGGAAACTCTAGCTCAGTTCTCATCTCTGGCTGAACACAGGTCTTAACACTGAAAAAAAAAGTGCTTCTTGGGACATCTGGGTGGCTCAGTCGGTTGAGCATCCAAGTCTTGATTTTGGCTCATGTCACGATCCTAGGATCATGGGATCAATCCCCCCATCGATGAGCATGGACCTCCTTGGGGTTCTCTCTCTTCCTCTCTCTCTGCCCCTCTCTCCAGCTCGCATGTACACTCACTTTCGTGAGCTCTCTCTCAAAAAAAAAATTTTCTTTTTAAGTGCTTTGCAAATTTAACATGCATTCAGATTATCTGGAGATCTTCTTAACTGCAGTAGGTCTGGGGTGGATGGGTCTGAGCATCTTAGTAAGTTCCCAGGTGAGGTTGACATGGGTGTTGACATGGTGGGTCTTCAACCGAACTTTGCGTACCAGGGCCATGAGGCAAAATTTGGCCATGCTGGAGGTCCAGGCACTCGAAAACTTCAGTTCTCATATACATAAAATAATTTTCTGAGACATTTTTTAAATTGTGGTAAAATTGGGGCAATTTTTAATGTAGCAGTAGCATAAGTGCTTAATCAAAATTTGTTTTAGGTGCTATCTTGGTGTATTTTGTTCTCTGCTCTTGGGTTCTTTCCTAGGGGGAAAGATAGCTTAAAAGGCTTTAATCTCATACACACAACCATTCCACAAGAGGCTGGGGATTTAGAGTGGCGACTCCTGACTTAGTGCAGGGCAGATAGCAGCTGCGCCTGGTTACGAGAAAGCAGATGTGTTTCTTGTTTCTGGGGCTGGCTGGAAAATGGTGACCTTGGGGACATGCAGGGATACT